TTTTCTAAGGGCTCGGTAAATCTTGAATTTGAAGAGTCGGGTTGAGAAACACATTCCGTCTGATATTTCTAGGTCTTGTATAAATTTGGACTATTTGGTATTTATATTACATGAATAATTATTGTTCTCATTGTAGTTATTAGCATTTGTGCAGATAGTTGGTGCTTGCTGGTACTTGTTGTCTGTTAAGCGTGAAGATGATTGTTGGCATTCAGCTTGTAAGAATAACAGCACTGTCTGTAACATAAATTACTTGTATTGTGGTAATGAGCATCTTGATGGTTATGACAAATGGAAGAATGCCAGTGGACAGGATCTTCTGAATTACTGTTCACCTGATGATAACAATCAGTCCTTCAATTTTGGAATCTTTGCACAGTCTTTGACCTCTGGTGTTGTTGCATCAAGAAAGTTCTTTTCCAAACTTGCTTATTGTTTCTGGTGGGGTTTGCAGAATCTGAGGTAATGATTTTCTTTTACATCGGCACATAGAAATTGCCTTGAATTTTCTAGTATTCTGCTATGTAATGTTTACCATTCATACTTGCCTACAGTACCCTTGGCCAAGGGCTGCAAACAAGTACTTTTCTGGAGGAGGTTATCTTCTCAATTGCAATTGCTGTGTGTGGACTCATTCTTTTTGCCCTCCTTATAGGTAACATGCAGGTAAAGTTGGCGACGTTGATGTTTCTTTATAAATGGTTTTTTGTTTTGCGACAATCATCTCTGTTTCAGCGGCTCTCAGTTAAATGGACACTTATTATCTGATACTTTCTACTATCATTTCAGACATATCTTCAGTCGATAACAATACGACTTGAAGAGATGAGAGTTAAAAGACGTGACTCAGAGCAGTGGATGCACCACCGGATGTTACCATCAGAACTCAGGGAACGAGTTAGACGATATGATCAGTATAAGTGGTTGGAGACGAGAGGAGTGGATGAAGAAGGTCTGGTTCAGAGCCTTCCCAAGGACCTTAGGCGGGATATCAAACGTCATCTCTGTTTAGCTTTGGTGACGAGGGTAGGTTTGTCTGTCTGATCATCAGTACTTTCTTTATCATTCAGATATCTGGAATTTTGTAGGCTCTCTGGTGTGCAGGTCCCTCTGTTCGAGAACATGGATGAGCGTTTGCTAGATGCGATTTGTGAACGGCTAAAACCTACTCTTTATACAGAGAATACTTATATCTTGAGGGAGGGTGATCCTGTAGATGAGATGCTCTTCATCATCCGAGGACGCTTGGAGAGTATAACCACCGATGGTGGAAGAAGTGGGTTTTTCAATCGAATTCTTTTGAAAGAACGTGATTTCTGTGGTGAAGAGTTGTTGACCTGGGCTTTGGATCCAAAGTCCGGTGGTAATCTGCCAACTTCCACTAGGACAGTGAAAGCCTTGAAGGAGGTCGAAGCTTTCGCATTAAATGCCGATGAATTAAAATTTGTGGCAAGCCAGTTCAGGCGCCTCCATAGCAGACAAGTGCAGCATACATTTCGCTTCTATTCGCCGCAGTGGAGGACCTGGGCTGCTTGCTTTATCCAAGCTGCATGGCGGCGCTACAGCAAGCGGAAGATAGCAGAACTCCGACGGAAGGAAGAAGAGGCAGGACTCAGGAAGAACTTGGTCAGAGGCACATCAAGCCTAGCTGCAGCCATCTACGCATCGCGATTTGCAGTAAATGCCCTCCGCAGCGTTCATCGACTCCGGAACAGAAGTGTCATGGAGTTGGTGAGATTGCAAAAACCACCAGAGCCTGATTTCACTGCAGAGGATGCTGATTAAATCTAATTCCCCTTATCCATGGCAGAAGTAATACCAAGTATGGCAAAGATGTGTGATGCACACCTTCGTTCCTCTCTTAGTTTTGGTTCTAAGCATGCATGGGGTATTAAACTTCAATGTAAACTAAGCAGCAGTTTATGCAGGACCTGATGGTGACCAAAAACTAATTAGGGTAAGTGGCGAGTCTGTCATTTATGCCTGTATATTTGATATCTTCCAATATCGTGTGCATTATGGATCTCTGACTTTTTAAGCTATTTAGTGTAATAAGCATCATCATGGATCCATAAGCAATGCTGTGAGATAAAGATGATCATTACAGTGAGAAGGCTTCCGTCCATGCATAATAATTCGATAGCACTATTATTGTCATCATCTGTCTCATGAGCACATAGAGCTGCTATCTCAAGTTGGTTTCTCTTCCTCTTCATATCATCAACATCATTGTCACTGGCCTTCTTCCCAATAGATTTCTCCGTGCACTAAGAGACGTAACTGAGTATAATGTTTCCTATCTCAGGAAGACTTTTGGAATTGGTGTGCCGAACACAATCATATCGATTGGCGATGTTTGACAAAGATTGTCATATCCAGTTGCATTTATTGACCGACGTCGGAAGACATACAGACGAAGCAAGCAGCAAACTTCACTGAGAAGATAGCCATGACTCGTAGGTTTGACAGAAATCCCACCTTCCGGTCCAGTCTGCAGTCTATATAACCATTCAGACTTCATCTCTAGAAGGAACAAGAAGAACCACAAGATGCACGATCACCGCCACCACCCGCATGGTCCAGGACCCGGAGGTCCTGACCCGCCCAGGGGACCGCCGGCTCCCGGTCCTCCACCTCCCTTTGCACCACCGTCGCCGCCACCGCCGCATCCTCCTGGACCGCACGGTCCACCGCCACCTCCTGGGCTCTTCCCACCTCCACCCGGCGGCCCTCCACTGCCACCGCCTCCAGGCCCCTTCGCGCCTCCTCCTCCTGGCCGACATGGCCCGCCACCTCCTTGAAGGATCGCCTGACTATGATCGTGCGGGTGCTCATGTTCTAAGGGTCCAAATAAAGTCTCTGCAGCTGTTCATGTTGCGGATGAACTTAACATAAATCGATCATCTATCCATGTCTCCTCGTCTTTGTAAGACATGATGTAGTCGTTACCTTTGTGCTATAATAGTTTGATTGTGTAAGTTGCTGTCCCTTCTAGAACTATGTTTCTTCTTCTTCATCCACAATTCAAGGATGGATCACTGAGCTTCTAACATTACTTTTTTATTGCTTTAATCATCCAAACAACGAGCATCGGCAGATTACAGACGCTATTCGAGAGGTACAAAAACCACAATCTCGGAGCAACATGACAGTTCTTAGCCTGTGTAAGAACCCTTAAGCTATGGACCAGCAAGATGATCATATTGAGACACCCACTGATCCTTGTTGGGAATGAGGAAATCCAACAGAAGTACGGGAGACACAGTGAGGGGTTGGTGAGAACGAGGAAATAAATGGAGAGAGACATGTCTTATCTCCGCAGCGAAGAATGTCCTCATCCTAAGTTGGCCGCCTCAATTCTCCGTGTTGACAGATATATTCTCACGCTGAAGTGACAGCCTTCAAAGCTGAATGGGAGTGGATGTCTATAATACAACAAAAAGAAACCATTTTAGCTCAATCTATCTCGATATCAATATATATATATATATATAAATGATCAACAAAAGATTTCGTATAGAATCACCAAAAAATAATTTTTTTTAATTTAAAATTGAAGAATGAAATCTAAGAATATTTTAAAGCAGTGATCGAAATTTCTTAGTGATCTCACGGAGCCTTTCTCTTCTTTTGAACGGTAGCTTTGACTGTGAGTTCGGGAAACCGCCACCTTCTCGTCCATTCCGGAGAGCCGATTGAGCCTATTTATTCTGAGTTCTCCTTCACCGAGAGGACGCAGGGAGAGAGAGAGAGAGAGAGAGAGGAGGAAGAAGATGTACCCCCACCGTCACCCCGGTGGCCCTTTCTTCCGCAGAGGGCGGCAGCCTCCCGATCTTCCACCACCTCCTCCTCCGCCGTGGCTAGATGCGCCTCCTCCTCCTCCTCCTCCTCCTCCTCCCTTCATGCCGCCGCCGCCGCCTCATGCACAGCATGGTCCACCACCACCTCTCTGGCTCTTTTCGCCTCCTCCTGGCCCTCCGCCGCCACCACCACCACGTCCCGGCCCCTTCGCTCCTCCTCATGGCCATCCTGGGACACCTGCTCCACCACCGCCGCCACGATGGTGAAGCCATGTACGAGAATACGTCATACTAAACCTCCATATCCATGTACTACTACGACGTGGAAATAAATAAGAAAACGCAGGTACAGGCATACCCTTCTCTCCAGTTTCTGTATGTGATCGATGTTGTATGATGATGTATCTATCAGCTCATCTTAGCAAGTAAAACTCCTTTAATCAAATTCTGCTTTCGCCACTTCAATGACTTTGAATCATTGGGTATGAGCCGAAGTGTGAGTTCATCAGCAAGGGAGGGGCAAGTAAGATGAAAGTAATGTTCATGAAGATAATAGACTGGATGAGTGCATAATTATGCATGTCATCTAATTTCTGAAGCTTCCTCATATGCAAAAACCCCACCAAACCATCAGTAATTCATTACCACTATTTGGTTCAAAGCTTTAATCACAGTAGAAAAGCCAAAAATGTAAAATAAATAAAGTTAAAGAAGAAGGGATTATCTTCTCTTTTTGTTCTTAGAGAAAGTGTCCATACTAACTAGTAAATATATATATATAGAGAGAGAGAAGGTGATCTGAATGCACTCAAGACTAAAGAGTAGGTTGATGCTGCAGCAACTACACATTACATCTCTCTTGATTACTTACACAATGGAAAAGAGAAAGTGGAAATGAAGGATATATACAGTTAAAAGATTAGATGATTGATTATTAATAATCATCTAAGGGGTGATGTAAAATAGCAAATGCATGGCAAGAATTGACATTCCACCAACAATCAAGTGTTAAGGTGGGCAGGACAAACAATTCATGGACAGTGTTTCTTGGTTTCCAAGTATTCCATTTGAGTTGCTGATTTGTCCCAAAACCTTTAGACTTTAGCTTGCTTCCATTTTAAGACATGTAATATTGTCAAACTTGTGACTCAAATGAACAGAACAAATTGTGGAAAGAATCACCCAATCATACTATCTTCATAGCAAAGTAGCAACAAATGGCCTTGTTTCAGACTCCAATTTATACAACGATTAATGTTGCATGTTTACAAAAGATTTTGTCGACTTTCCTCCGCATTGTTAGGGACTGTTGTTCGCACGAGACAAGCCGAAGAGATCCAAACCAGAGCTGTTAAATTTGATTCCACGGTCAGCTAAACGTTAAGCTAAGATTCGAGCACAAAGTGAGCTGAACAAAAGAGATCCAAAATATAGCAATTTGTTGAGTCAGAGGATTGAGCAGCCACATCTGTTATGCTTTGGGGATTTGACTTGCTTTTTCTCTGTAAAGAAGAACCATATCAGTACTGGACCACAGATTTGTATGATAAGACTACGAATGAGCATGTTTACATTTAGAACACGTCGTCAATAGTAGTGCATAAAGGAAATAACTCCTGACAAGTATACTTGAAAATTTCTACAAAATATATCCAGTAAAATAGATAGCATCATCCATTTGGGGCACATTTTGAGCTATGAGCTATAAAAGTGATAACATGAGTATTTGCCGAATGAAGCACTGAAAGAAACATCACCAGCATTACAGATATACAAAGATGACAATTTCATAGAACTAGCACCTACTAGAATGTCCTATGGTAGCAATGTCATTCACAAGATCTGAAGTATCTTGGACTTCAGAAGTCAGTCCGGGAAGAATAAACACGATTATGTGTCACAAGGGTCATGATTTATACATGACACTACAACGGCAGCTAGTTCTCGAAATGGAGGTTAACACATATAATATATTAGATGACCTCTGGTATTTCCTTGAAAAAGCTCATGGCCAATGACTATTTCAGGTGAGCCAACTTCACTGATCAGAGTGTCAGCCATGCATAACTAAAGAGCCCACCTGTTCTCTTGTTTCCTATTTATGTAGTCAGACAATATGCATGCAATCAGTAGCACCAACTGCTCTTAGATGCACAAAAAACAAGTGCAATAAAAGAAGCTCACGGACACTAGTTTATCTAATAAGAAGTGTCCTTCCATGTTTATTTAAATAAAGCTCACAAGCATCCACGATAAAGAAAAGGAAAGAGAGATCACTGATTAAGAGAGCAATCTACTGCTCTTATTGTATCTATTCTTTCTCTCTTACAAAGCCTGGACAGGTTCTAGGATTTTAAACCCAAATGACCACTCTTCAAGCTCAGCTAAGCAGATATAGGAGCCAGACCACCCAGTTCAAAGGGGCCGTATCCAGCTCAAGTCATGCCACTAGGGCAGGCCATGGGCACACTAATATAGCTCCACGATGCAACGGCATAAAACAAATCTAGGGAGCTATTTGCCCCAACAACACACACAAGAAGAAGAACAGTAGAGCTGTGAGCAGCTACCTGGTCATATTGGCTGGGTAGTGCCTGACTCCAGCAAGTTGACAGTGTTATGAATTAGCATCTGGTCAAACTAAGTCAAATTATCAATTAAAAGCATGACAGTGATTCAAAATTCCAAACTTGTAGCCAAAGTAAGAGCATAATCCACAGTCCAGAAGATAAAGTCACAATCACTTTGTTTTTTATGGATAAACGGAAGTCACAATTTTAAACAATGAGAAATATCATGGTGGTATAGAAGACATTGGATCTACCGGTATGACACACAGTCTAAACTGGCAAATAGATCTTAAGTGCTGGAATAATGAATACTATATTGTGGAGTAAAGCATCATTGTTTTTGTCAAATGCAGTTAGGAATCAAATGAAATACCATTGTTTTTGTCAAACACAGGAGGCCGAACCACAACGTGCATAGTGATTACCCCACCAGAAAGCCCGCCAACTGACACCGTGGACTCAGCAACAGTCTGGTTGTTGTCCAGTATTTTTCCCGCATTTATGAGCTTCACATCATTTATTGTTCCTGGAGCAATTTCTTTGTCTACAAATAAAGCCAAAAAGAAAACCATCTTCAGTAGTAAAGTTTAGCAGGAAAAAAAAAAAGAAACAAGAACGATACATGAAGTTGAATGCTTCAAAGCATAACAACTGAATGAAGAGTTTACGCAATAGAAAGCCTTAGCAGCTAATGGCAATTCTCATACCAATGAATCGAAAAGATATTTATCTAACATGTAAAACAAGTCAACAGTTGGCTCTGTGTAAGTTAATTATGTAACTACAAGAGCATCTATTCTAAAATTACTTGATTGGTGTCCACAGAATGCAACTAGAATCATATGATTTTGTATGGAAATACTCAAGGCTAAATGTACAGCACTAAACGATGTCGTTTAACCGATTCCCAAGAAGTAGTAATGTCTCCCACATGTATCAGAAATCAAATAAGAACCTGCCACAAGACCAATCACAAACAGAAAAGCAGGAAAAAAAAGAACTGCTGACTATCTCCTTTTAGGATTCTGTAAAGAAGTTGAACAAAGGACAGTTTATAAGCAGACATCATTAAGAAAACTATCACTGATGTCTACATTTAAATTATAATATAACACCACAACATTCATCATGTAGACACAATCTCTCAATGAGTTATAAGATACCAACCATTTAGTTGAATATCAAAAAAGAATTGTGCGTGCCCAAAAGCTTAACTTAAATCTACCAATTGAGAAACCTGCAAGGAATAATTAGTCTAAGAAAGAAACCATCCAGCGAGAGTAATTAAATCCTGAACATAATCGCAAATCGACAATATTTAATGCAGAGAAGGAAGAAAGAAAGAGATTTATACTAAGGAAAGAATCCTACAAACAGACACCAGGACGGTCGAGCTCTCACCTTGCGGCCATCGAGCGATTATGAATTCTTTGAGAGATGCCACGGTGGTGGAAGGATCATGCTTGTTCGGGCCGATGTCGGTGCCATCAAAGAGCCTAAATTTGAGCTCGATCGATTCCTCTTCTGCCATTCCGAAACACCCCCAAGAAAAAAAAGGACTTTTGATCTAGTTCTGCATGGGGGATTGAAACTTTCTTTCAATCCCCCCAGAAGAAACGGATGATTAAAATTCTACAAACAAATCGATACAGGCCCTCAACCAAGAAGAGATTTTGACAACGAATCCGGAAGCCCCCCTTATCTCCAAGCAACCAGACCTTCGAGCTTGGCCGCAGATAACCCCCTTTCCCCTCCAGAAATTTCGACTCCAGGACCAAAGAGCAGGGAACACAACGATCAACCAGATCGAAATCTCCCGACTCCAGCTCAGGAGGCCGATGCCAACCCGTCCTAGGAGGGCGTTCCTCGCACCAAGATTGGGTCTTGATGGGTTCGCGCATGCCAAACAGGGAATCCCCAATTGGGAGTCTTCCCCTGTCGATACAGGCTGCGGAGGAGCCAAAAAACCGATTTTTAAGGGCGCGGACGCTTCTCCCTTCTTTTTCCCTTATTTTTCTCCTTTTATTTTTCCTCTTCGACCTCTCACTGCGACGGCCATTTTACAATGATACAAATGCGTGGATGAAAAGAGGAAAGCCAATTCAAACGACTCTTTAACAACCGATAGGGTTGACTGAATGCAATCCTACAAAACTAGGCAAAATGAACATCTTGCAATGAACTTACCATATCAAGTACTTTGTGTTCCTTTCATGATCAAAACCAGGACACCATCATCATCATCCACTCCAAAGGCAAAATGATCCCTGTCATTAATATATATATATATATATATATATATATTATTAACCAAGCATGTTTTTACTAGATCTTGGTTT